GTCCCACCTCTGCCAGCCATGAACTCCTCCAGATACTGGGCCCATGTCCCAGGGTGCGGCAGCAACTTGTTCATCAAATCAAAGTGGTAGTAGGAGACAGCCACGTCCTTGGCGTTGCGCCCCACATAGATCATCTGCAGATGGGCCACGGAGGTATGAGGGGCAACCCCAAGACACCCAACAGTGAGGACGCTCCAGCTCTTAGAACTACCATGAATATTTAAGATGCTGGAGGGAGCAGTGGGGAGTGCTGTCTCAGAGGAATAGGCTGTTGAAATTCCCTCTAGGGCAGGGACAAGAGTTGGGTGTTACCTTGCAACGGTTTACCCAGAAGGATTTGGGCAGGATATGTGCTGGCAGGTGTGTCTTCACCACACGGGGTGAGGGCATGGTGGCCAGCAGGTCTGTTCCTGGGGGATTCCAAAGCACTTCCTCAGTGGGTCCTTGGCAAAGACCCTTGGAACTCAGACCATGTGGGGTACCCCTGCACATCACTACCTGCTGCCAACTTCCCAGGGGCAGAGAACTCCAGCATGGGCACTCTCTTGCTGATAATGTCCCGTTTGCACTTCTCAGGATTTCCGCCTTGCAGGATCATATCCACAATCTCGCTGACCCAGGTGGTGCCTGGGGAAATGAACCCATAAAGGGGAGCAGCCAGAGCAGAACCAGATGTCTTAGAGCTTACAGTCCCTCAGACTTCAAATAGATACCATGGGGGAAAAGGAAAATCCTACACAACTCTGTCCTGACAGCCCCTAAATGTGCTGCATACTCCCAGGCAGTGGGTCTCAGATGAACAGCCTTGCCCACCCAGTACCAGTACATCTGGTTGCCTTGGGGATGCTCACCAGATTTGGGGTAGGTGACCACCACGATGTCCTCGGGTTGGCTCTGGAAGGTGTCAACCCGTTCCCAGTTGTGAGCAAAAGCATTGACCATGGGGATGCCGTGCACTGTGAGCCAGGGCTGCCGCAGATAGGGGTCCGGATTGGCCATCTGCTGGGGACAGGGACATATGGCAGGGCTGGCTGATGAGGCCCCTCCCCACCCTCTCAGGGTGGCCACCAGCCAGGGCAGCCTGGTCACCTGGCACTGTGCCTGCTCAGGGAGCGGCAGTGATAGCACTGGAGCATAGACCAGAGGTCACCGCGGCCATCGCTGCACCCACCGCTGGGAATAGGGGTCCCAGCTATGGGGACAGGAGCACACCCAGAGCCCCAGCAAGGACAGGGGTGCCCACAGCATGCCAGCATCACCCAGACCTAGGGGACTAGACTAGAATAGCACCTCTTCCCTTGCCTCAGCACCCCTGGAGTGCAGGGAACTGGGTCCCTGGGGATACTGCAGGAGACCACAGGTCAGGGGAAGGTTTAGGGGTGCAGATTGCACACAAACCCAAAATGCCCCAAACCCACCTCCCTGGACCCTGCAGCATGCAGCTCTGTGCAGCTGAGCATGGGCAGAACACCCACAGGGCACCCCGGGATACCTGTCTCACCTAAGAGCTGCTGCTCTGTACCACGAGAGTGACGCCGGGACAGTGACACCAGGAGGGTGACAGCAGAGGACAGGGAGATCCAGGACGTCGCAGCAGAAATTGCGGGAAGGAGAAGGAAACAGTTACGGCACTGAGGGCAGTAATGTTTGCCAGCCCAGCAGCTGCAGGGAGGGAGGAGCGTGTGCAGGGAGAAACCAGCAGCCACTGACCTGCAGGCAGGGCCACAGAGGAAATCTCAGCCCAGCCCCACAGGTCCCAGGCCATATCCTGCTGTGTGAAGGGAGGGAGGACACCTCTCACTGCCCACACCCACCCAAAATGTTCCCCGTACACAGATTTGCCAAAACATTCTGCAATCCCATGAGCTGCTGCTGGCAATCCCCCCACCACA